AATCAGCTCTTACCAGATCAACTTTGGATTCGGTTCAGATCTGATCCGACTTATGTACAGCCCTACTTTGGGTCCGTCCCATAGAATTCTTGGCATTTGCCATTTGGCAAATGGTGGGCCCTTTTCAGGTTGGACACAGCTTTGTATTGGGCCATTTGCCAAGTCTAAGTGTGTATTTTATTTTTGGGTAAATTACAAAGACCTCCCTGTACTATGGGTTCTGTGACAAAGACCCCCTGTATTTTGTTTTGCGACAAAGACCCCGTTTTACTATGACCGCGAGACAAAAACCCCTTTCTGTTAGTTTTCCGTTAAAATCCGCCATTGCAATATTTTTTAATCCCTATATTACCCTTGTAAGAAAAACACTGTTCATTTTCTCCGATCTCACGATACAGGAACAGCAGCGGTGGTAATCCCTTCTACCTCAGATTCCTTCACATTTCTCTCTATCTCCCTCTCTCTCTCCCTCGATCTCTCTTCTTCCCCTTCCCTTTTGTCAGACTCTCCTTGGTCTTCTCTCTCCACCGCCTGAGCTAAGCTTTGGTTCTGCGATTCCGTCATGAGAAAAGCAAGAAAAGGAAGCTGCTCTTCAATTTTCTTTGTTTTTGGATTTTCTTGTTAATGTTTTGGGTCATGTGGGTTCTGAAACTGGCAACACGACAACTTTCGGTTAATGGGTTTTATCAAGTTTCAATTGAATTAACTCTGTTCTTTCCAAATTTTACTAATTATTTTGCAGGAGTATGCATAAAGTGGGTTAATTTCTTTTTTTGTTCCTCTATTTTTCCTTTTTTAATCATGCTTGCTTGTACTTTGTGAGCTTGGTCCTGTGTTTACCGCAACTTAGATGGATTTGATACTCCAGAACTGGGTTCCCATTCCTAGTAACTAGAGCGTTGTACAATGTTTTTGTTGGGTGATTCCACAATTGGGACGGATTTGGATTTGTCAAAGAGAAAGAATAAACCAACCATGGAATGATGGAATCTATTGAAAGCTTTTTTTTTTCCTTAGTGTTTACTGATTGAAATTTGGTTTTGACAGTTCTCGTTCGCAATAGGGACAGGAAGCGAACGATCGCGAGGTTTTCATTAAGGAGATCGAAGATCGGGTGGTGGGGAGAGGTTTGAATTTGATTATAAGGGAATGGGCCTCACAAGTCCCAATACCGAACCATACAACCGTCGCTGCTGTTCGGCATGTTCCTGTATCGTGAAATCGGAGGAGATGAATAGTGTTTTTCTTATAAAGATAGTGTGGGGATTAAAAAATATTGTAACAACGGATTTCAACAGAAAGTTAATAGAAGGGGGTCTATGTCTCACAATCATAGTACAAAGGGGGTCTTTGTCACAAAACAAAGTACAGGGGGGTCTTTGTCATAGACCCCATAGTACAGGGGGGTTTTGTAATTTACCCTTTATTTTTTTTGAGGATAAATCAGCTACTCTCGTGAAATCACAACCTTGCATTGTGTTTGTGAACCAAATACAACCAACGTTTTGTTGCAAATCAGGGTTCATGAACTAGAAAAATCCTCATTTTTTAATACTATTAAAGATAGCTTTTTGCAATGTTCAAAGAACCGGACTTGTCATAGAACTGACAAAGGGAGAGGTTCACGGGTCAAAGGTTCAACCGGAGTTAAACCAGAGGTCGAATCATGATGATGTGGCATATATGTATATATATTATGGGTTATATAAATACTATATATAATACATTTTACAGCTTTTAATATTCTTAAATATGGTGAATGGATGGCAAATTCTTTAATTTTTAAGGCAAATGACCAAAGTTCAAGTCTCTTAGTTTATACTTTCTTTAAAATATGTATAATAAAATAATATATATAATAAAGAGTCATTAAATAACATAAGTACAGAGGTGGATTAATGGTAATTAAGCAATATATGAGATTCATGGTTCAAGTTTTATTACACTCATTTTAGAATTGCAATTACTTAGTGACCCAAGTGGTTTCATAAAACTAGGACTGATTCACCAGTTTTTTGGTTAAACTGGATGGTCAGCTGGTTTTCACCAATATTTTAGACATTACGGCTCTTGGGGTGTAACTGAACCAGCCAGGGTCCTAGGTCATGGTTCAACCGGTCCGGCCAACCTAGTTCGGTTTTAACACTGGCTTTTTGAACACAACCCCATGGTCAAAAAGAAGGCTGATGTGGTCAAGTGATCCTATGTATCTCTAGCCATATTCCTATATTGTATAAAGTGCAATAGATATTTTATACACCTGAAAAATGTATAATTATATATACTTATTAACATATGTATTTTCACATGTTATATTATATTTTTAAGGGAAAATTCCCGATAGGTACCCTGTACTTTAGGCTGAGTGCCAATTTGTTACCTGAACTTTAAAGCACGACAATCTAGTTGGCGTTAACCATCCATTAAGTGGAATACAATAAGACAAAAATGTCCTTCGATCTGCCATCTCCCTCGCCTTCACCAAAATAGGCTTGTTCTCTCCGGTAACAAATTCTCCGACAAGAGTCTCTTTGAGTTTCCCATATCAGTTCTGCACAGAGTGACAACATTTTGGTCTGATGGGTTTGCTAGGATTGCTCTCCCACAGTACTCTTCGGCTTTAGCTAGATCACCCCGAACCTGTTTCCAATTAATCAAACAAAAGTCTGTCAAGATTGATTCCTTTCTTTTCTTTCTCTATAAAGAAAAAACAAGAATTGAATGGGTTCGTTTCCTCTTTTAAGAACCTCGCGTAATTCCCCAGAAGAAGTGCATTTGCAGGGTTCGCCTCGATCATCTTTTGATAATAAACATTTGTGCAATCATTCCCATAATTCGAATTTGAAAACCCAGAACCCCTTTCACCGTCTCCACCATTTGATCCTCCTCCTCCTCCTCCACCACCACATATCCGGCCACAATCACTCCCAACTCCACCGCCCACAGGAAGAGTTGCCAACCCATTATCCTTCACCCCAACAGCACACCCCTCATCCATGGCTTCCGTAGCTTCCCCCAAACTAGAGCTCGAAAGCAGCCGCTCCAAAGACGAAGCCCTTGACTTGATTCCCACCTCTTGTTCTTCCTCTTCTTCCACCGAAATTGAAGGCAGCCTAGTAAGGTTCCTCCCTAATGTTATCTTTTTCAACACCGCATGCTCCCGGAGATCAGTCTCCGACAGAGCTCTGCTCATCTTCTTCATGGAATCACCTTCTTATTAATTAATTATATAATTATATATACTTATTAACATATGTATTTTCACATGTTATATTATATTTTTAAGGAAAATTTCTCGATATGTACCCTGTATTTTAGGCCGAGTGTCAATTTAGTACCCGAACTTTAAAACGTGACAATCTAGTTGGCGTTAACCATCCGTTAAGTAGAATGCGAAAAGATAAAAATGCCCTTTGATCTGCCATCTCCCCCACCTTCATCTGCAGAGGCTTGTTCTCTCCGATAACAAATTTTCCAGCAAGAGTCTCTTTGAGTTTCCCATATCAGTTCTACATAGAGTGACAAAACATTCTTTGGCTTTAGCTATTCTTTGGCTTTAGCTAGATCACCCTAAACCTGTTTCCAATTAATCGAACAAAAGTCTGTCAAGATTGATTCCTTTCTTTTCTTTCTCTATAAAGAAAAAACAAGAATTGGATGGGTTCATTTCCTCTTTTAAGAACCTCGCGTAATTCCCCAGAAGAAGTGCATTTGCAGGGTTTGCCTCGATCATCTTCTAATAATAAACATCTGTGCGATCGTTCCCATGATTCGAATATGAAAACCCAGAACCCCCTTCATTGTCTCCACCATTTGATCCTCCTCGTCCTCCTCCACCACCACATATCCGACCACCATCACTCCCAACTCCATTGCCCACAGGAAGAGTTGCCAACCTGATGGTGCGCGATCTGGATACTCCTAACTAGAAGATGATCTGAACACAAGTTGCGTGACAAGCTGGACCAAGCTGCAAGATAATAGATCAGAGAACCCAGGGTGACTAAACCGGCGAGGTCGCTCCAATGCTTAAGTCAGTACTATATTATGGATGCAAGTTGAATACTTGAATGCTAAAGTGCTAGTGAGCAAATAATTGCGCATACCTCTCTTTTTTCTCCTCTCTGGGTCTTTGGGGTTGGTGGCTTTATATAGCATTGTTCAGTGTGGGCCTCGCGCACCATATCCGAGATTTCTGGGAGATCGTGCCTAACCAGTCCGAAATCCTTGGAGGTAAACATCATGCACATTGACCACCCTCTGGAACGTTCAGTACGTGGGCCAACTTCCAAGAATCGTGGGAGTGTCGGGATATGCATGCCAAATTTGTCGGCGAGCACATCTCGCAAGTTGCCACCTAGACCTCAGTCAGGCCGGGACACCCTTGAGGGAGGTTGCACCTTGCATCGAGGTCACTTCGGCCAGTGACGAGGTACTGCATGTCGGCCCTGGATGAGGTGCTTTTAACCAACCTGAGTTGTGGTTGAGGTCGCCAGGTCTGGGCGAAGAGAAACCATGATCTGGGACTCCGTCATTGCTTAGGTGGTGTCTATGTGTCAACTAGTTGTTCCAAGATGCCATGTTGTCATGGGAGTAGTTCTACTGCGGAAGAAACCCATGGGGCGTCCAAGCCAAGGTAGGCCAGGACAAGCCTTTGTGTGACACGAGGCTAGGAGTTGCCCGATGAGATGGCTGCACCAAGGTCAGTAGCACTGGATCATGACCTCAAGTCGCATGGCCGGGTTACTCGGCTAAAGCGGGACGACCATGATGAGAGGCGAGTGGGCGCCAATAAGAAGGAACTTCTGTATGCCGATGATGTAGGCACCTGGTGCCAATGATGATAGGCAATTGCTTGGGCCGGAATACACCCGTGCGCTATGGGCAACGGGGTAGCTCATTCAGCTTGGGCAAGGGGCTGGCGTGGTGAAGGGTCATACTTGAGCTAGGCCCGCTTGCCAAGCCTCCATTGAGTGTCGGTAGCGCAATGTCGGTCCATACATTGTTCCCATGAGCATGTATGCGGCCATGAGGAACCCTGGTAGCCATGCTAGCCATTAACCAAGGCTGCCCCGCAAGTGATGTTGGTCTAGGAGTGCCAAGGTTAGGCACCCAAGGAGGTCGACCACCCCTCCTCAAAGAGTACGTTAAGCTCTTGGAGGTCTGCCTGAAGATAACATCACTTTTCCCAAAAATCTTATAGGCGAAAATGACGGTGGTGTCCCTTAACGTAAGCCTGCCAAGCGTAGGCAAGGCTAAGCCTGTGTCAGACCGTGACAGGCTCCCCCACTCAATCCCTTGTCGTCCTCGACTATGGTCCTTCTGTGAATAGGCGCCTGTGTCCCGTGCCATCCACTTGTCTGCCAGTTCCTGGGCTCGCCTGGCCAACTCGGGTCTTGCCTATGTTGGTGTCCATTTATGGGGACAAAACCATATCACCATGTCGGCCTGCCTAGACTTCACCCCCTGTGTTGAGGTTACTCAAATCACGCAATGGCTATGCCGTTGAAATGTGTGAGAAGGGCCCTCGAAGAAATTGTGTGTGGTGCTTCGCGGAGGTTCACCCCATGTATCATCTTCACCTCAAGGCTCGACCGTCTTCTTGGTAGTTTTTCAGTAGTGCTACCGAACACGATGCGATAGGTCTACTCCTGCTATTGGCGTGTGTCCTGGGTGTACCCTTTCACCATGCTGGTCTGTAGACTTCACCTCGCTGTTTGCGGGTTAATCAAACCTAGCCATTGTGTTGCTGCCTCAAGGAGATCTAACCGCTTTGTGTGCGAGTGGTGGCAACTTTTACCCATGATGTTGCCGAACATGCACTCGCCTTGTGATGAGCTATTGTTGCTGCAAGTGTTCCACCTGTTTGTAGAACTGAGCATGTCCTCCGATGCATTGCTAGTGTAGGGCCGCCATGCTCCAACAACTAGTGTACCCACATTCCTATCATTCCATATTGTGGCTTCAACCGAGGACCCATTCTGTGCAAAAATGCCACTTCAGTGATATTCCTTGACCCACCGTCGACACAAACTAATTCGGACTGTTGTCCATGCCATAGTAGTGCCTTTGACAAACTACAGAACAATGACTCATCCGTCATGAAACCAAGATGTAGGCACACCACCCACAACTCACTAAAATGAACAACAACTGATGTCCGTGAGGAAGCATGGCACTCCCCCACTCAAACCACCACAATATACCTTCCATGAAAAGGCTCATGCTTCTGCCCCCGCATGAGCACAGCAACCAATGCGTCTGCCCCCGCAAGGGCGCTGTTTTGGGGTCATTGGAATGAGGACACGAATGAATGGCCTCTTGCCAGGCCTGATGCGAAGATGCTTGCTTGTGCCCAAGTGGAAGTGCCTAGGGACCACACCCCACGATGTGCTGCTTGTCGAGATGACCGCTTCAACTAGCTCTATGCTAATCTACTTTGACACCAACTACGGCAGTAGTTGGCTAGCTTGCTCTGATACCAATTGCGGCAGCAGTTGGCTAACTCACTCTGATACCAACTGTCATGAGGGTAGTTCTATAGCGGAAGAAACCCGTGCGGCGTCCAGGCCAAGGTAGGCCAGGACAAACCTTTGTGTGACGTGAGGCTAGGAGTTGCTCGATGAAATGGCTCCACCAAGGTCAGTAGCACTGGATCATGACCTCAAGTCGCATGGCCGGGGCACTTGGCTGGCTCTGGTCGGTCCATGGGAGGCGCCTCTTACGTGCTAAAGGGTGACGGCCATGATGAAAGGCGAGTGGGCGTCGATGAGAAGGGACTCTTGTATGCCGATGATGTAGGCACCTGTGTGCCAATGATGATAGGCAATCGCTTGGGCCAGAACACACCTGTGTGCTATGGGCAACAGGGTAGCTCATTTAGCTTGAGCAAGGGGCTGGCGTGGTGAAGGGTCATACTTGAGCCAGGTCCGCATGCCAAGCCTCCCTCGAGTGTTGGTAGCGCAGTGTCGGTCCATGCACTGTCCCCATGAGTATGTGTGCGCCCATGAGGAACCCTGGTAGCCATGCTAGCCATTAACCAGGGCCGCCCTGCAAGGGATGTTGGTCTAGGAGTGCCAAGGTTAGGCACCCAAAGAGGTCGACCACCCCTCCTCAAAGAGTACGTTAAGCTTTTAGAGGTCTACCTGAAAATAACATCACTTTTCCCAAAAATCTTACAGGCGAAAATAACGGTGGTGTCCCTTAACGTAAGCTTGCCAAGTGTAGGCAAGGCTAAGCCTGTGTCAGACTGTGACAATGTGTCATGATGTCATTGGAGGGCCAAATCCGCCCTCATCAATTGCCCCCCACTCCCAAGCTGAGAGTAGCTCGGCGAAGGGAGGAGATTGCTCCTTTTGGCCCAAGATGACTGATTCGATCAATTTGTAGTCGCAAGCGTTGGTCTGATTTACTTCTCAGATCGGAATAGTTCGAGTGTTTGCTGCCTTACGCAGGACCTTGTTGCCTTGATTCTCGGGCACGAAAGCGAACTCATCCTCTCAATGAGAGGTGAAGTAGGTACCCCGAGGACATCTACCTTATTAGGGATGTAACCGTCAAGGGGTTCTGCAATCCGACCATTACCTCGAAAGTGAAGCTTACCATGCTGTCCTCAAAGGGGTGTTCTAACTGCGTGATTGCTTTATTAGGTCACTCCACCTAGGTAGACTTTGACGCAGTGTCACTTGAACTGGTTCTCAAAAGAGTAGACAATGAGTTCGATGCGGATCCTAAAACCAAGGTAGAGGTCTACTGTGAAGAGATTAGCCAAGTTTGCATTTGTCATGGTGCCGAACTAGTATGCACACCGATGAGGCTAAACACGAATAGCTTTTTTATTTTTCCCTTGCCAAAGAGGTGACTAGGTATATGCCCGAGCTGACGTCAATAAGTGTCGATTACTAACGAAGTGTCGGGCTAACGAGCTAGGTGAAGGGATGAGAGATCCATCATATGGATGGCCAAACCCTGAAAGAAGATTGGGTGAAATTTAAAAAATTTCTCTTTCCCATGTGGGACCCAAACATTGATCTACACATCAGCCACATGGGTTTAGCCCAGCCTCTGTTACAAGGCCTGGCCGAATTCACTGTAGGAAACAATGAACCCCTGAGTCCATCACCATGGGCTCTTAATGGGCCCAACATTTACACTAAATGGTCATTGGGTCAAGCCATATTATAAAAACCCAAGGACTGTGGG